GTTGCCAGGCGACAAGGTTGGGAGCAGGGCTTTGATGAACAGTCTCAGTGTAATGGAGTTATCCCTGCCAACATACTGAAAACACAGGGACAGACAGGAGAACAAACACATGCATGTGTGCAAACACATGCCAGAGTGTGGCATGTGTGCAGCCTAGGCAGACAGGATACACATGCACCCGGTGGAGCCGTGTCTGGGATTCTTTATTAACTGCAGCTTTGGCTCAAGTCAATGCTCCCATTTATACAGCATTAAAGACTTCATATTATGCTTCTTGGCTTTTTCCGTCTCCTTTATTACGCTTTATTGAGTTATTTATTGAGTTATATATCTTTTTTACGCATGTAATAGGTTTGGAAAGTGAAAAAGGCTAAAGTCCACTCCAAAGGGAGTTCCCATCTCCCACAGAAAACTGCTCTGAACTGCCTGAAAAGAGCTCATTTGTAGTCCAGCCCCCTTTCATCCCTGTGATGTCACAGCAAAATGCGTGTCATAATGCTCGCCAAACGGCTAGTCCAACACGCCCTCAAAAACACCGGTGGTAAAACACTGAGCTGCAGCACACATCTCTCCTCTCCCTTCCAAACACGAGCGTAACACTTTCTATGAAGGTCATCGCTATAATGACTTATGCATGTATTTATAACACAATATAATGCGTCCATAAGACATTATAACAATTGTTATAATTACTTACAAACATGCATTAGGCGCTATGGACACGATGGACGCATTATATTGTGTTATAAATACATGCATAAGTCATTATAGCGATGACCTTCATAGAAAGTGTTACCAACACTAGCTACCCTCCAGTAAATGGACAAAAAGTTGTTAATGTGATGACAGAGCTCAGTTAAAAACTTTACAAACATAAAACATATACAGCTGAACCAAAGCCATGTTTACTGGCTTCTCTAGACCCGCCCTACACTGCTTCTGACCGGCTAGAAAAATGAAACTATGTAAACCTGTTCTGGTACATCCCCTAAATAAGATTATTATTCATTATTAGCATAATGACCTCTTTAAGTGATTACTACTAATTTATTGCCAGGTAATCTTAAAAAATATTTCTATTTCATAATCTTTTCATTGAATGTCTGTGATGAATACAACCCCAATGTATCCACAGTCAGAAGATACAGCCCTGCTGTTGATTTCCACTGCTGTTTTCCATGACCTACTGAAGTCGTCTACTCCCTGTGTTTTCAAACAACATCTATTAAAACATTTCACAGAAACATTCTGCTGCCTTGGCAAATGTAATCCACCATTTTAAATGCAAGAATGGAACATTACTTTTTTCTTTCTTAGGCATTACAGGAGGTGAAGGAAAATAAATAAATTAAACTAGCAGTATCCTTTAATAATAACAGACCGTGATGGCTCAACTAAAGCTCATGTAATACAGATACAATATCACTGCATACAATGAGACAGTAAGATGGATGGAGAACAACACAAGTGCAACACCATCAAAGCTTAGTATCACTGCTGTATTAAAATATTTGGCTGATGGGCCCAACTCGTGGATGTGGTAATTAAAGACATTTTTGATCACTCAAAGTAATGAAGTGTCTAACACGCCACTGCCTGAAGCTCTGCTGCTAACATGTGGTTTCCATATCTCTTTGCATTCTTAAAGTAATGGCCTAATCTTTATTTTATTTTATTTTTTTAATAATTGGCCATTTTTTACTCTCACTTTCTCTGTGAACATGATAGTGATTCAAACTCTGACTCTGGTTCATAAAAGCTTTTACAGTTGCTCCAGGAAAATGTCCTCTGGCACACATAAGAGATGTGTTTTACATTTCCTGTGGCTCCAACAGCATTTCAATTATAGCTGCAGGCTCACAGCCGCAACTCTCACAGCTTTTCCAGTCAGCTGCATAAACAGATGCACACACCACTGACTGTTATGTTTGGGGTTATGATAAGGGGCTGTAAGAGACCTGCCTGCAAACATGCAGTTAGTGTTGGAAAAAGTACTGAACTTGACTTGTGAAAGTATTAGTACCATCATGGAATAGTTTTCCCCTGTGGTAATCTTAAAGTCAAATTTTACTTAAATCTGCAAAACCTGATTTGGGGGAACTTTACCGGTAAGAAACTGTTAAACACAACATTGACTTATTATCAGCCTTGAAGTTTAATGGGGAACATGTTAGCAAACCATTTGCAGCCTATCAACACATCCAGCAGACAGATTCGGACCACATGTAAGTCCCATATTAACTCTTCTTTTAGCTCTGTTTTGGGCTCCACCAATATGGAGCCAGAACGTTGACATTAAATTAAGGCACTGAAAATAAAATTTGGCATTGAAAACACATAAAAAATGACATCATATTTCTTAATGCCACACTTTTTACTCAGTGTCAGTGGTTTGCAATTTCAACTTTTTGTCACTGATTTTGTATAATAGAAAGACTTGCTAGGTTATGCCAGAGGCATCACACCAATTAGTGATAAAAGTAAAATAAACATTTTAGTAAAAATACTAAAGTTGTACTAAAGTTTCCTTTAATAGTGCTGATTACATTACACTGTGATCTTTTGAGACCTTTTCCTTTTGAAGTATCGGTGACAAATTGTTTGATCATGGCTGGTGCATTTATTCTCCAAACCATGTGCAATTGTACCCCCCAAAAGACACCAAAATGTGAATAAAAGCCATCACACATAGAAACACATTACATTATCATGCATTATCAAAGTTTCCATACATCCCGGCTTCTACATTGGCCACATTGCTTGATTATCACCAGATCAAGACTAATGGTGCTTTCAGACCAAAAGTGAAGCAAGCGTTGGGGGCGGGACGTTTACATACAAAGTCAATGCAAAGACGCAGAGAGCCGCAATTTCCTCTCGGGCAGTGCAGAGGGGGCACGCCTGGCGGAAATCTTCAACTCACGGCAGTTGAAAATTTCCAACTTGAGAGTTAAAGCTGGATAATGCTAAGTTGCGATAGCCTATCAGTGGTGAGATTAAGCGGATGTAACCCACGACTTCAAATGCTGTTTGGAGAGTACCAGGCAGAGAGGAGAAGTAAGTAGAAGAAGTATTTACTCGCAGGAGGAGCTTGGAGTAAATTGCTTTTATTAAATTAGCTTTTTACTTTAGTTTTGCTTCTCTGCAGCTAGCTTCTGTGCATTTAAAAAAAAAAAAAAAAAATATATATATATATATATATATATATATATATTCCAATTCCACTGTTGTCATTAGTGTCAGTTGGCACCCTGAGCTCTGTTGGACTACTACTTCATATTTATATCAAAACTGGACATTACTTGGTGAAAAGAAAGCGAGAAAGTTGAACTACCTGGTGAGTTCAGAAAATATGTGTCTGTAACTTTATTCCAGCTGTGATTGTACTTCACTGTGAACAAGTTAGCATAGCCCCGATCGATCTGAACTCCATTCAGAAAACAAACATTTTAGAAATTGTTGTCCTGCTGACTTCCTGACAGACCTGACAAAGCATGAATTCATATGTTTAACAAATCTGCTACAATCAATATTGTAGTTATTTCGGTTTGATCCGTTTAATGCAATTTAATTACAGCAAAATGTTTACTTTGGGTTCATACAGCCCTAGTAATCGCGGATTGTGTTTATTTGCGTTATCACATTAACACTTGGCAGTTCCCCTGTGAGGAAAGCGTTGCAAGGATTAAATTTGCATTTGGTCTGAATGCACAGTAAGTTACCAAACATTTGAAACAATATAACAGTCCAATCAGGTTGCACATATATTTTTAATGCCCAAATTAGTTACATTGTCAATATGTTGCATGCAGATAGATGAGGTGAAACTGTGTGTATGTAGCGTGTCTATTGATGTAGGTACATCTGTGCACAGAAGTGTGTAGTGTGTGTTTGTATCCATCAGTCTAATTGTGATTATGGCATTTAATTAAGCCAGATGATTTGCACTTCTGTGGTAACCATTAGTTGTGTGTGTGTGTGTGTGTGTGTGTGTGTGTGTGTGTGTGTGTGTGTGTGTACATGTGTTAGAAGTTTGGACTATTCCATTTCTTTCAGATCCAGGATAAAACTCTCTCACTGTCTATCTGTCTGACTGCAGGATTAGCTTCATGTCATGATTCCTGGAAAAGAAAAACTCTGTTGACACTGAAATCCTCTTGCTAAAAATAGTCACCCCGTGTCAACCTACGAAAACATTCACATTCATGTTCTACAGCAGCTTCAACTCAAAAAGAAAACAACACATTAAAATGTCATTGTCATCACTCAGAGCGGCTGCATCACCCACCTTTACATCCACATAACCTCTGTCAAAAGGAGTTTTAACAATGACAAGTAAAGTACAATGACAATAAAGATGTTGGTGGGATTTGTGAAAGCTTGATTCACTTCTGGCTAACTAAATGTCCTGCGAAAGCTGGTATGAGACACACAAAGCTGTGATACATAAACAGATGGAACGTTTTTCAGGCATACACTGGTAAACTACCCAAGTGTGAATACAGCTTCAAGGTACAAGGTAGATTTATTTATCTACAATTTTTAAATCTGGGGTTCTCCAAATACCTAAAAGTTTGGTCACAGGTTTACACAGTTATCAGATTTAAATAGTCCCTGTTTCCCCTTGAACACTTTGAGTTCCCTCATTAGTTATTAGTCTCTTTTGGTCTTATTAGCTCTTTAGCTCAGAGTTCACCTCTGACGTCAGTTTGAATCAGGTCTTTATTTTCTTTATTTGAGCCAAACCAACTGAGATCTCAGAAAAGAATGTGTCAAAAAAATATATAATTCTCCTTAATCAGGCTCTTTCTGACTTTGTTTCCTACCACCCCTTGGAATGGCACATCTGGGTTGCGTGCATTGGGGTGACTGGGAGTAGTCTTACGAGATTCTCTGTGCACAGCTTCCTAGCTAGCATTAACAACATGCCCAGACGTTTAAGGAACATCTGTAATTTGCAGCTACAGGAGTGAGCTAGGTTACATAGACAGAAACAGTAGTCAAAGGTGAAATCACAGAGGATTTATTGATAGTAGAACAATATGTGCAAGGTGGATCTCCACACGGTGAATCTCTGTGAGTGGGCAGGCAGGTATAGACAAGGCAAAAACCATGTGAGGCTGGCAAAACAGAAATCCTCCAACTCCCCATGACCAAAAAACCTGAAGAACAAGCATAGACAGGATGTCAGGAAAACTCTCCCAGTTGTGTATCATCCACAGGTGGTTTGCTGATTGGACCTGCCAGGAGAGTGGTGCGCCACACCCAGAAACACACACACAAACACTTACCCGTATACTAGAAATAATAGAATGGGTCAATAGTTGATGTCTCTAAAACGACCTATATGAGTGTGTTCAATGACTCCCCAAAATACATGTATGAGCGTTTTCTGTACCCCATTCCACTACAGCTTGTAACAAGGCATTTAACAGTAACACAGTTAGCTAGCTAACGCTAACTAAGGCTAGCTAAGGCTTCATGTAACATTACTAAATGCTACCTAAAAAAGCTAAAAATAAACACAAATAAAATGTTTGTTTTTTTACTAACACAAGCTAGCTAACACTAATGAAGCCGGGACAAGTTACACACACAACTTCAAATACGATTTGCAGGGTTTCTTTTTATTGTTTTCCCACTTTCAGGGCTGGTACTTTTATGTAAACTGAAGCAAAAATGCAGTCGCTCCACTGGAGTAACTGGGGAATGTACAAAAAAACATAGTGAACGTAAAATGGTCTTCTTTGAGTCAAAAATAGAAACTCAATACTACCTCTGCATACACATGGCAATGATGCAGCAACTATTACATATACAACAGGAATACAGCCCAAAGTTGGCACATAAAGCGGCATAAACATGGTTACAAAAATACGCCAGTGGCACCTCTATTAAGAGGACAAAAAAAAACAATTACAACACTCCACAGTAAACATTACACATCAGTTGTGCAAACCACGAAACAATGTGTCCATACACAGATACATTAGTTATACAAATAAAAACAACATTCATTAGGTAACTTCCGTTTCATACCTAACTCACGGATAACAAGCTCTCGTGGCCCACACGTAGGGTTTCTTCCACAAGCATCGGCTATCCTATATGCAACAATTGCATACAATGTGGAATTTAATACATACATAATACACCACTTGACAAACACATTGCCATATTGTGCGTAATAACTCACAAGAACATAATATTATTAATAAATGTTCTCACCGATAACAGCAGCAGCCAGTCCATGCAAAATAGCGCAGTTTACTTCCTGTATTTTCCTGGCGCCCCTTGACCTCTCGGCAAGCACGCGGCTGTTTTGAGTCAGCAACGCTATGCCCTCTGCTGTCTAAAATCAACACCTGCAGCATTCTCGCTACAGCAGAAAATTGTGCCGATAGAGGTTTTGAAACTTGAATCTCCTGTATATTTAAGGTTTCACTATATCACCTGGTTACACTAATAAAAAAAACTGATGTTGACTTTTTATGCTGCACAGTCACACCTGACACCACAGTGCTGTCACTACAATCCTCCCTGCTTTAAAACAGTCTGTCTCTGTAATACGCCTGAATGGAAACCTCTTCTAGGCTTCTCTTTAGCGTGAGAAAAATCCAGTGCTGGTTCGCCTGGACCTCTTTGCACTAACTCTGTCCAAATAAAGTCTGTTAAGACTGGGGGCCAATCTGCTGGGTCACTTGGTGGAGCAGCAACTGTTCCAATAGGGTCTGAGCTGCTTGTACCTGATGCTGGCTGTACATCTCTGGCTTTGCTCGTACTGGCTAAGGCTGCCTGTATTTCACATGGGTCTGTGTGACCTGCTAAAGAGGTCTGTAGTACTGTCTGATGATCCAGTATCTACTCTACTGACCAACTTAAGCATAGCCCTGGTAAATTGTAGATAACATTACCTGTTAGATATTAATGTTATCATCTGCATCAGACTCATTTAAACTGGCTCCCCCAGGATTCCTTTAATACATTTTTTTTAACATATAAAATACTATTTATACCATGACTTGGCTGAATACACAATGGTTATTATTTACTGAGATATGCGTTTTGTTCATGAATCCAACTGTCTGTCATTAGGAAAAAACACAATGACTGTGGTTTATGTAACAGTGTGCAAATCTCTGTTCAATATAACTGATATAACTTCATTCATTTCATTAGTGCATGTTTGCGCAATGCACATGCCAGATCTCCATGGCTGCCTGCAGCTTGCATGATAGCTGCTTCTGCTATCTTCATTTACACTAAGCAACAAAGGGAGGCAAAGAGCATGCACATGTGTTACTTCATGTAACATCATTGTTGTCTCTGCTGTAGCCAATGGAGAGTCAGAACAGTGTTCATATCTTATACACTGAAATGATTTATATATCGTCATCCTTTTATAAGCGAGGACTCTCTGTATGTCTAGGTGATGGTGACCCCGGACATGTTGATGAGGAAGGAGAGAAAGACGAGGAGGAGGAACAGGAGGGGCAGCAGGAGAAGGACGAGGAAGAGGAGCAGCAGGAGGAGGAGGAGAAGAGGGAGAATGAAACCAGAAAAAAAAACAGTGACAGGTACAGGGACAGTGTGCGGGGCTGGGTAGGCAATCATATTATGCACAGATAGAATTTTATATATTAGTATATTAGCATAGAGTCATATGTTTATGTCCCAAGTTCCCACAGAAATTAGGAAGAATACGCTTTATATTAATGGCCTGCTGAATTAGATATTTATCTTCCTTTCAAATGATCAAATTGGTTATTGTTTATCATATTTATGATTGAGTGATGTTCTTCTCATGCAGTACAATCAGTACAGACAGAGGCAGGGTCCAGCCCAGATGAAGCTGAGCCAGGGAGAGTGGAAGGTTGAGGGCTTTGATTTTTATGCAGACTCACACACAGCTCTGTTTTATGGAACAGCATTGTAGTTTTTGATTATATTTTAACACTGAATATTTGAGTGTGTAACTATTGTAGCACTCTGACTGACTGTACACATGACATGTTGGTAGTTAGCAATATACTGTGACTGCCTGACCTGGTCTTGTTTAGTGCAGTGGTGACTTTATACAAACTGTGGAAGTGTCACCCTAAAGGTTCTTGAATGTCTTCAGCATAAACTGATTCTCTCTTTCTATTTCAATTTCAAAACATTTTATTCATCCCCATGGGGCAATTCCGTAGATTAGTACAAGTTAAAACCTGTTGAAAACAGACGGGACGTCTGTACCGGGGGCAACCGGTGCTGTGGGTGAAATTACTGATTGAAAGATGGCGGGCGCCATCTTGATTAGTGCGCAATACCTGCAAGTTGCCTGCCTGCTGCCCTGAGAGGAAACATGCCGCATGAAAACACACACCACTCGCCATTTTGTGGCCGACCCGTTGGAGATACATAGACACACAGGGTACCAAATGAAAGGTCTGCTCAAGCCGGATTGATTGACTGTGGGATGTTCTGTTCTCAATCTACAGGCATGGGTGTGCTTTTGGTGAAAGGAATGTTGATGAATACTCACTGTTTTTATCAATATTTCAATGTTTTGTCATTTGGAACTTGGTTGTATGAACAATAAGTCAACATTTTAACAGTAAATATTACCAAAATATGGACATTCGCCTGGTATATTTTGAAAATGTTGTATGATAACTGTTGTATTTTAGTTTATTTTCATCAGATTTACAGTTACAATTGCATTCTAGGTGTATTAGAAGACATTCAGTTGCATTATAAGCTTCCTTATGATAGTTTTGATGGTTTAGTAGTACAACCAGCAGGTGATGGAGAATGTCGCTCTCAGTGACATTCAACATTTTGAGGATGACCTTGCCGCTGCTGGCACTTCCTGAGGATCTCCTCAATGTTCAAAGTAAATTTCATCAGATTATCTAAGATTGTGCCCAGGTACTTATACTCCTCAACAATTTCTACAGGCTTCCCATGGATAATGGAACAGCCAGTTCCCTCTGCTTATTGGAAAAAGTAACTACCATCTCCTTTGTCTTGTTCACATTTAGTTCCAGGCAAGATTTATCACACCATTCCACAAATTCCTGAAGAGCTGAGCGGTGGTGCTGTAGGGAGCCTGAAGGCAAAGATAGAAGAAATGTATTGTAAGCGTACTTAACCAAGCCATAGTTTGGATGGGCAGATGGGCAGTCATGTAGGTAAAGGATAAAAAGCAGAGGTGAAAGGACAGAGCCTTGCAGGGAACCAGTTGACGTGTACAGGACATCAGATAATGTGTCACTGACCAGGACTCTCTGTGACAGGTTGGTAAGAAAGTCCATTATCCACAAAATAAGCCAGTCGTCTAGGTGAAGAGAGAGTGTTTCTCAGCTAGAATATGTGGCTGCAGGGTGTTAAATGCTGAGAAGAAATCAGCGAAAAGGAGTCTGGCTGTCGTGTTGGGAGAATCCAGAAGTTTGTGGATGGTGTCTGCAATAAAAACCTTTGCATCGTCCACCCCACTACCTAGCGATAAGCAAACTGAAATGGGACCATCTGTGAGTCTGTTATCTTAATATGATTTTTGATGACCCTCTCCATATCCTTCATTACCAGAGAGGTGAGAGCGACTGGCCTGAGATAATTCATGATCTTGATAGTACCTTTTTTTTTGGTATGGGAATAACTGTGGAATCCTTTTAAGGGTCTGTGCCACCATCCAAGGACCTTTGGAACAACAACTGGACCACGCCCCCGGCTCCTCGGCACAGTACCTTAAAGTACAACTACTAATGTTGTCCGGCCTAGTTGCTGTTTTGAGGGCTCCCACTACATCCTTTATGTTAATAGAGAGGGAGGAGTCACCAAGTTTGAGTTTGGAGAAGACTTCATTTAGCTGAAAGCTATTATCTGTCTCAAATCTGGGGTTAAGGTCATTAGGGAGTGATGCTGGGCTGCTGCATGCAACCTGGATGAGGTTGCGGGAAGTGGCGGCAGTATTCCCAGCTGCCATGTTCTTAATACCCTGCCAAGCTGTACAGAGGTCCCCTTTTGTAAATGAATGTACCACTTTGTCTTTATATTTTGATTTAGCACTTTTCATGCCACTCTTAACTTCATTATTAACCTCGTTTTTTTCAGTTTCAGAGCCCATGAAGAACACACTCTTTTTCTTGTTGAGGATTTCCTTTAGTTCTTTGGCCACCCAAGATTTGTTGTTAGGAAAGATAGTAACTTTTTTGATGGGGATGATGGTGTCCACTCAGAAGGAGATATATGATGAGACTGTATCCATTTGCTCATGAATGTTGCTGTATGGAGCTATCAGATTATTCCAATCAGTAGCTTCAAAGCATCCCTGTAGCCTGTCAATGCCATCATCAGTCCACTGTTGAATAGTTTAAATAACATTTTTAATCCTCCTTATAACCAGCAAGTAAGCTGATAATAAATAGTGTGGTCAGCTGAACCAAGAGGCAGTTGGGCAAAAGATTTATATGCCTGTGGAACTGAGCCATAGCATTTATCCAATGTCTTCCCCGAGCGGGTAGTGCAGGTGACATGTTGGTAAAAATATTTTAGTGAACAATGATTAAAATCACCCAGAATGACTTTAGGAGAGCCCAGGGATATATGTCCTCTTAATGTGTTCTATGGCAGTGGTTGCATTTGATAAAAAAGAGCTGCAGGGATTCCCGAGGTAGGTTGGAGGGGTGAAGAGAGTCAGCCAAAAGTTCAATGTCAGTGGTATATAACTTCTCTCTGATGACAACCGTTGCACACCAGCATGTGTTTACATAGAGGCAGACGCCACTGCCATGCTGTTTGCCTGTAATCTCATTGTCTCGGTCAAGTCTTAGGGGAATCCCGATGCCATCTATGTGAAGGGCTTCATTGTTATCATTTCTATTCTGGCATGTTTCAGTAAATGCAAGAATAGAAGCAGTCCTATATTCATACATGTAATTTAAGTTGGCTTGTAGTTTGTCTACTTTATGTCGGAGTAAGCGCACATTTTCTAGGATGACAGAAGGGAGTGGTTGATGTTTACATTTCTCCCGTTAAGTATAGCTGTGATTCTGCCCTTTTTCTTTCCCATTCTGGTTACCTTATTTTTGTTGTGAAATGGGTCCTTTTGGTTAGAAGAATGTTTGTGTAGAATTTCCACCGGGAGCTTCTCTGTATCAATGGCTACGGTAGGAATAGAATCGTAGCAACAGGAGAAATTCTCTGGGGTATCGAACTCGTAGACTGTCAGGAAGGTTATGTCCACTTGTTAAACAGGATATATATTCCAAATAGTATAAAAACTGCAGGGAAACCAGCAACCAAAGCTATCCATGTCCATATGCCTGGTCACTAATGT